CAGGCCGTTAACTTAAGCAATTCGAAACTACGGCTTCCAGGGTAGTTGAAGTGCTTGGTCTTGCAAAGACGGGGCAAAACACCTACTAAAGGTGCAGTGCTGGGCTTAGCGCGAAGTTCAGGATTCTGGGCCGCAGTGAAAAGCTACGCATGCAAAAGCAGTTGTGTGCACCGGCTCCCCACTATCACTATTCCAAGTGCCGAGGCTGTCTTAATTGGAGCACTTGACGCTGCCCATGCCTCCCGGGTACCCAGTCGCTGCACGGCACGCTGGAGTATCGCAGCGGGCAGCCGTGCCTACCAGCGGTGCGAAATTCGGGTGTGAAAGCTTGGGGAGCACAGATTGCAAGGCCGATGCTGGCTTGGAAACGAGTGGCTGAGGCCGAACCAGGCGTATTTTCGGGTTGATTGTGCCTCGAGCAGTTCGAACTCGAGAGCTAGTGACAAGAGGGTCAACCCCAGATTCATTCAGCGCTTCAAGATACATCGCAACCGCGATTGAGGCACAATAACTCCTCCTAGGAACCGACGTCCTTCAGCCTGAATCTCAGGAACACCGGAACTAGTCTCCAAAGGCCTCATGGCCATCGCGGAGTGCTGCACGCAGCGCGTCAATCCCCCTGGGCGAGCGCAAGGGTACCCGTTCGGTGATAGGCCTGCAAAGTCCTGCAAGCCACAAGTTTGATTTTTTGGGAGTCGATGCCAACTTCCTTTCACTGCCTCACCCTCCACTGTGCCAACCTCGACGTCCCGTCCAAACTACGTCAGGTCTTCAAGTGAGCCCACCAGCCCCAGGCAGCTGTGCATCACCAAGCCCCTGCACCTACTAGTACCCTGGGACCTGCTGCCCAGAAGCGAGAACTTTCAGATCCACGCTCCGGACGCGTGCGTCAAGCTACGATCGACTGCTGAATGAAGGAGGCATCACAGAATGGCTTAGGACAGGGCTTTGCTGTGTCCAAGTTCTTGCAGACCGTCTGGAGGTGGTGCAGCAAAGCCTCTGCCTGCAGGATTTAGTTGGCCAAGGGTCTAACCTCACGAAGTGGACCTGGAGAGGCTCGTGTCAACAGCCGACATGCCAGCACAAGCTACCGGGAAACAAGCCATGGTGTAAACCCATACTCTGCTCCGTTGTAGAGTGCACAGTTCACAGCAGAAGTCTCCCCAAACCCTAAACGGCCCTTTCGCAAAACTGGAAGATGCCACAGGATCTGTGGCCTTCTGCAAACCAGGAAGTGCCACCTGCCCCAGTCGTGGCAATGCCACGGGAGGAGTCTTGAAACTTTGGTGTTCTTCTGGCTGTTCTTCTTCGCGCTTGTCCCGACTGGCCAAAAAGGCTTTTAAAGCTTGGGCCATGTTCCTAGGGCCAAGCCCTAAACCCTAGACCTATTGATTCGGCGAATCATTATGTATGTACTTATGTGTATGTTTACAATGAGATCCAACTTTAGCTTGATATTCGTGCTTAATACCGAATGCTTACTTGCTTGCGTGCTTGACTGATTGATTGAGTGAGTGAAGGGCGAATTGGTTGATGAATCGATTAATTGATTGATTGGTTGATAGGTTGGTTGATTGACTGATTGACTGACTGACTGACTGATTGATTGATTGGTTGAGTTGCCGTTTGCATGATGGATGGATGGATGGATTCCGGATGGATGCATGGATGGATGGATTCATGGATTGACTGATTGATTTATTGCTTGCTTCATGGATGGATTGATGGATTGATGGAGTGATTGATCGGGTGATTGCGACTCTGTTGAACTTGATGCAATGCCAGTTTAATCATAATCGTAACAACAACAGTAACGCAATAACACAATAGTAGTGATAATAAGGAGAACAATAAGAAAACTACTAGTTACTAGTCATAGTGGTAATACCAAAGCTATCACTATCAATACGGTAACCCTTCGAAAAACCTTGACACCCTGTCACGCTGCCCTTGGACCTTGTGAGCTTCGCCAAGGACATGCTGAAGATGCTCCGGCTCCCTGGACAGCATCGCTTCGCCAACCTGTCCCAAGCACATAGATATCTTCAAATCATCAACATACTTTGGGGTTCATAAGGTTTGCGGGGGCAGTATTAGTGGCTTCGGGCTGAAACGAGGTAACGTATAGCAGAGCAGCACAAGGAGTGAAATGTACAGGATTTTTGCGGAGTTGGACGGGTGCGTCTTCAGCCGCCGCTCCTGACCAGCTCTCAGACTGATTCCGGCTAAAGCTCTGCCAGCAATGCTCAGCCAGATCTCCTGATCCGCTCCTTTGTGACCTCACCACGGCTACATACGTCTTCTGCATGCTACGGTCACGATGCGAAGACTCTTCGCATCGTGACACTAATTAGCCGTGGTGGGCACACGACGCGAGGAAACAGGTACGGCTTACCTGTCCCAGTGCTTCAGCGAAACGACAGATGTGCCACAAGCTTTCCATTTCTTTGCATAGCATTGAGGCCACCATGGACTATGTTCCGGAACAACATCCGGAATCCGCTTTGCGCAAGGCGCTGAAGCTGGGCATGTGTCAACTCTGTGAGGACTGCCTGCTGCAAGTACACGACATCAGATGCTACCGTAGCTGCGAGTTGCATGGGAGGCCCCACCAGCGGTGGGCGTGCCACCTGGCAAAAAGCGCCTCCAAGGAGGCCGTGCCGTGTCTTTGAAAGAGCACCGAAGCCGTGAAACTTGCCGAAATGGCACCCAAGCAACTACCCCCGAACGATATGAAGCAGGCAACCTGAGGCGGAGGCGAATTTGGCTTTGTCCTGCTGCGTTTTTGTGCGCAGCACGGTCCCGATCAACTGGCAGACTCCAGTCGCCATTCTTGGAGGTCCTTTGAAGTGGCAATCGGATCAAAAGATTGGCACGGCTGAGCGTTGAGCTCCTCGAGCCAGCTGGTGAAGGACGTGTCGGTGTGCTTTTTGAAGCGACGTCCCTGCCAGGTTGAAGCAGACGTTTGCGTAAGGAGGGTGTTGTTGTGCTGCAGAAGGTCCGGCCCGAAGAACACCCTGAGCGGCGTACATCGCATGTTGGTTCAGTGGTTAGTCGCCAAAGCTGATCACTCAGAACTGCAGGTGGGTTCACTGCATTAGCAGTTGCAAAGCGTACGATCGTAGCAGCAAGAGCTCTGGCGTAAGAAACTGCCATGCTGTGGACATCTTCTGGAGGAACACCACCAGTCATTGGAGCTTGACGCTGGCGCCGTTGACTAACAGTAAAGCAGCTGCGAACCGGCCGTGCAGTTTGGGAATCCTCGTGGTTGCCACGATTTGCCACGCATTGCTGGCGAACTTTTCCAGCAATGCGTGGCAAATCGCGGCAACCACGAGGACTCCCAAACTGCACGGCCGGTTCGGTAGCTCTCCATCATCCCAGCAACCATGCCGGTCTGCACCTGCGGGGCGACAACGTTTACAGGACCGAGTGCCGACATATCAGAGTGGTATCGATTTGGGTATTTCGCATCGATTGTCCACACCCATTACATGAAACACCCGTATCGGTTTCGGGACTTTGTACGAGGTCCACACAAAATCCTCTTATAGTACAACAGAATCAAGAGCCGGAATCACTCATGTGCGCACCTTGTAGTAAGCATTCCGAAGCTGACTCAGCCGTGTGTTGTCGCTGCGGACGATCACCGCCAGGTAGTCCATGATGGCTTGCGTGTCCAGAATTCTGCGGAAGCGACGCTGCACGTGAAATTGGGATGCCTCCGATAGACATCACGTCCACACCCAGCTGCTCAAGCTGAATCAACGCTTCGTGCTTGCAAGCCGGACAGACTGTTGTTGAGTTGTAAGCTACAGCAGTCTGTCCCGCTTGCAAGCCTTACATGAGGTCCTCACGGACCGCCATCAGCAAGCAGTCGCTCTTGTTACAGGCTGTTGTGCCGGAGTGCGCGATGCTGAGCTCGGGCGACAGGCTCATTCTACGTGCACCATGCTTCCTAAAGTGGTCCACGGTTGCCTGAAGTCGCCGATGGCAACGATGGCTTCTCCCCGTGAGGCACCGAAAACCCTAGCCGTAGGCTACACTTTACGCGACTCGGTCCTAGCATTAAGAAACCAGCTTGTCTTGGAATGGCCCTGGAGCCTTCAGTGCCGCAAGCAAATGCAAGCAAGCTCTCTTGGCATGCGACACCCAGCATGTAGGACTTGAGGGCTCGAGGCTGTTCGATTTCACTGCGCTGGGGATCTACGACGCCATGTAATGAACACGACTGCTCCGCCTTCGTTTGAACAGCCTGCAAGGTCTCGAGGAGCTCGGTGGCCTCTGAAGCACGGGTGCTCAGCAAAACAGCCGCGACAGACTTTCCTGCCCAGCCGCAGTAAACCCAGAAAACATGTCGCCTCCGAAACCAGAGTCTTGTCGTCAAACTCAATGTCGCGAACATCCTGACCGTGGCGCATCACCCTCGATGGCAGAATTAGGAAAAGCGGGTGGACTGCATCCTGGTCCTGGCCGTGGCTATCTCAGTGCTAAACCCTAGACCCTATAAACCCTAAACCCTAAACTCTAGGAACTCAAAACCCTAAACCCCTTGCGCCTTCAGAACTTTCATCAAGTCCTCCGGCACCCTCCGCTCCATGGCCTGTTCTTTCAAGGTGGGACACCGAGTTTCGGTTCCAAGTCCTCAGACATGTATGTATATATATATATATATATGTATATATGTATATATGTATATATGTATATATGTATATATGTATATATGTATATATGTATATATGTATATATGTATATATGTATGCATGCATGCAACTTGCAAACATACATATATGTATACATACATACATACATACATATATACATATACATATACATATACATATATATATATACATATATATATACATATATATATATACATAAAATCATACATATGTACAGTATACACCGCTTCACAGACAGAAGCAAAGAGTTACAGTGCTCCCTGCCTGCTCCAGAGCTCTCTGCGCGTTGTCTGCCCCCTGCTGTCGCGCAATGGAGCTGGTCACCACTTCCTCTGGGTCGGCTTAGGGTTTACACTGGGTTTACGGATTTAGGGGTTTAGGGGTTTTTGGGGGTCCTAGGGCTTTTTCGGGCAACGGCTGTCAGGACCTTGTTGAAAGTAGCGACATCCCAATGGCTAAGTGAGCAATTCCATAGGACCATGACGCGGATCCATGACGTGTCAAAGTACGGAAACCTCCCCAGCTGAAGCTCATCCCCAAACCCCAAACACACCGAGCAAAGCCCCTTAAATGGACAGTCATGTCTGCCTCGCTCCAGGTGGACCACCCGCCGAGGTTCCGGGCCCTGGCCAACTCTGAAAGCTTCGGGGGGGAAGCAGGCGCAAGGGCCCGTGGATTCCTAAAGCTTCGTGCTTTCACCGAGTATATGGCTTATGATCTTAATTTAGATAAGATTAGAGTATATCGTAATATTTTCTTGTTGTAAGATTATATTCTAGTCTATATATTGCACTCATGTTACTATCTTATGACTAGTTATGATGAAATACTTGCTCTGAGATCCTACTGAAGAGTCTGCGAGGTCGGCTGGCTCTGCCATGAAGTCACGAAATTCCAAGCCCCGACACGCGAGCCTCGTCTATGTCACACACCCTACTCCAAGTCCAAGTCCAAGCTCACATCCCAAGCCAGTGAGTGTCGGCGAAAGTTTACCCGACTTTGGAAACTTGCCGTGACATGCCCATCTCAACTGCCGCGGCCTCATCTTCACGAAATGCTCTGCATCGCTGCTGCTGGAGTCCGGCATCTCCTTAAACTGCAAGGGCCTCAGGGGCGATGCTGAAACACGCTCTCACCTTGTGACTCCAAAAATCGGGAGCCCAGCAACTCTGGAAGGCCCTCAGCCAGGCGGCGGAGCTTCTCCTCTCGCCCCCTCCCCACCAAAAAAAACAACAACTCAAGGATCAATCCAGGATCGCTTCAGGGCTGCAAGGTGCGAGCCTCTTCCAGGAGGAAAGACTTCTCCTCCCCGCCCTCCAGCTTCACCAGCACCTCCTTGGCAAAGGCATAAAAATGCAAAGGGAATGGGCGCAAGCTTCAAGCAAATGGCATCACGGGCATAGTCTTGTTTTCCCGTCATGCCGGCTCGCCATCAAGCTCACTTGTGAGGGCGACATCGGGGCTCAGCTGGAACGAGCTGAACGGCCCGAACGGCCTAAGAGGAGCTTGCGCCACGCTTCTTCCGCGCTTTGGCAGCCTCTGTAGCCACTGAGGGCACGAAGTTTGCCTGAACGGCCCAAGAGGGCCTAAGATGGGCTTGCGCTGCGCTTCTTTCGAACTAAGAACCTGGGAGGCTCCGGGCCACGAAGTCTAGCCGGGAGATCGCGAAGCAGCCGCTCCATCTTGGCCGAAGCATATGCCAAGGATTCTAAACATCGCGCCACTCATCCGAGCAGCAGCGACAGCATCAGCAGCCGGCAGCACGGGCAGCAGCAGTAGCAGGAGCGAGAGCAGTAGCAGTAGCCGGAACGGGAGCGGTAGCAGCGGCAGCAGCAGCAGCAGCGGTGGCAGAGCAGTACAGCAGCACTAGCAGTAGCAGGAGCAGTAGCAGTGACAGTAGCAATAGTGGCAGCAGCAGCAGCAGCAGAGTAGCGGTAGCAGCAGTAGCACCAGCAGCAGCACCAGCAGCAGCAGCAGCAGCAGCAGCAGCAGTTGTCCACATGAAGTCCAAGTTCGCGGCCAGGTTGTTCTCGCGAGTCCAGAACTTTTGCGTCGTGACGCCCTCTGCTTCCACGTGCAAAAGCGTAAACCCGCCAGCTCTTGTAGAACTCTTGCGAAGGTCAGGGGGCCTGCACCAAAGTGCAGCTACTGGGCCATCAAGGCTCGGAAGCTGAAATGATATGGCGTGCCGGTCCGTCAAGGCTTCGCTCAGTGAGACAGCTGGCACCAGTCGAGGCTTCAGCAGCAAGGTCGCTTTCAGAGATGCCCATTTCTGCGAACTCGCTTGAAGTGTTTTGCAGGGCTGGCCTTCACCGAAGACCATGGCCATCGCCGAGCACGGCCGTCAGGAGATCCTTACCGAGATGCGAGTTCTTCGGGATTTCGGGTTTGCTCAGCTTCCCTGGCTTCCCTCCCTCCTGGAGCAGGCCATAGGCCGTGTCCAAAGTCGTGGGGTTCGTGGAGGTCACCGTTACTGGCCCAAGGACATCCGTCTCCACCGTGAGAGCCTCGTGGTCCATGATGCGGGACTCATGAATCACACTCATCCGCAGCAGCCCTGCTTCTGGGGCGGCGGCAGCAGACGCACCTGTCAGGCCGCAGAGCGGGTCGGCCAAAGGCAGCTCCTTCCTGGAGGGCATCGCAAGTCATCGCAAAGCTATCGGAAGCCGGAACCCCCACGAGACATCACGAGACTTAACAAATCCCTGGTGCAGCTGAGCATCAGGGACACTGCAGCACGCACTTCACCATCCACAAGCTCTGCCTCACAGACCTCAGCCCGCTCAAGAGGATCCCAGTGTTTAGTGTTCCCTTCTCTGGGGCAGGCGCCATCTTCACGGCATTTCCCCGAGCTGTGGCGGCTCGCACCTGGTGCGAGTTGACATGTCCTTGATGGGAGCTTTTGGCCTTTGGAGGCACCCAGCCTGTGACAGCGTGATGCCACGGATGCTGTCTTTGGAGACCTGCGCCTGGAGCTCAAGCTAAGGCGGCTAAGGGTGGTCAGCCGGGTGTGATGCCCGAGTTTAGATCGTGTGGCTAAGGGGCACCTTCGGGGATCATGGATCTCTGTCTGCTTCCTTAATTGCACTATTGATACTGAGCCGCCTTAGAAGCCACCTCCAAGGCTGCTCAGGATCTTGCTTCAAATCCTGCACTCAAACCCTTGGTCGGTTGTTGCTTTCTCGCTCAGTCCCGGACAGGGTCGAGGTCACGACGAAAAGCCACTGCGGAAAGGCAGCAGATTTTCATGGCCGCATCCTGACAGAAAGTGCTTCCGGTGCCCTGGGGTTGGGATGATCAAGGGGTAAGACGGGAGAAAGTCGTCTTTCGTGTTCAGAAAACCGGGAATGTCTCGTGAGTACACCCGCATCCTTGCCGTCCAGATCGTCGGACGGGTCCCGCTCGGCGATGCCCTGCCGCACTACGCGGAAGCGAGCTGAAGGACTCTTGAATGTGTCTCTGCTGATGCAGAGGATGAACTCAAAAGGCAATCACAAATCCAAACTCACCATGCCGCTCCGAAACATCATTGCCTGAGTGGTTGGGGTTTGTCAGAATCTGTGTCCGCAGGTCTAACCCAAGAGTACACAATCAATTATTGAGTTACCAAGCGGCTGTGAATGGACAAAGGGAGCTGAAGTTTGACAGCCAGCCACTCACGATCCAACCGGTTTCGAAAGGAACAAGGGAATGAATAAAAAAAGTGTATCCCAAACCGCGGCTTGCAGGGTAGCAACTCCCGACCCGAAGTACCGCATAGCCAAGTCACAACTTGCGATGCACACGACCTTTGCAGACACTCTGGATCAACGCCCAGACCCTTGAACTCCGCAGACCTTACTCGGATTACCCAAACATGGGCTCTAGACCCTAAACCCCCAAAACCCCCCAAAACCCCTAAACCCTAAAGCCCCTAGATAAACCCTAAACCCCCTAAACCCCTCAACTCCCTATATGTGCCAGCATCTGCGCACCCCCCCCCCCCCCCCCCCCATCGTATACCCCTGCTTCCCTCCCCCCCCTGTGGTACCTGTGGTTCCTCTGCTTGTCTCCTTTCTCCCCCCCCCCCCCCTGTGGTACCTCTGGTTCCTCTGCTTGTCTCCTTTTCTGCCTGCTTCTCGCCTCCCCCCTGTGGTACCTGTGCTTCCTCTGCTTCTCTCCTTTTGTCCGTCGTGTCTGCTTCCTCTGCTTTCCTTGCTTCTCTCCTTTTGTCCGTGGTTTGTGCTTCCTCCGCTTCCGGCGTGCCGGGGGGGGGGGATACCATTGGGGGGGGGGGGGGGGGGGGGTCGAGAACGGACAGCATCTGCGCACCCCCCCCCCCCTGTTTGCGTAAACCTCTAAAGGGGTAGCTCTAACAGGTACCTACAGCAATGGCTGCATGCTCATACATATACATTCCGCTGCCCATTGGCTCACAGTGGTTTTACCATATTGAGACAAGACAAGCTCTCCTTGCGTAGCAAGACAAAACAACTACTGTCCGTGTGCAGGGCGCTGCCCTTTGATCCTTAGGGAATAAACTGGTCATACACCTCCTAACAAGGAGCATTTCCTTGTGGGTGTATCGGCTCAGTTTTCTGGTAGCGGAGCCCGGAAAGGGCCGCCCGCCTCCCAAAGTCCGCTACAGCGGTCGGCCTCGCCGAACGCTTAACCAAGCGGATAAGAGGCAGCACAATGTCGAGCTCGCATAGCGAAGCCGACGACAGTTCCCAATCCTCCGGGGGATATGAGAACGAAGAGACCTCCCAAGGTCCAGCCACTTATGTCGCACAGTCATATGCAACATCTGACCGCATGCTTGCATCATTAGGCATAACGCCCAAGATCGCGCCTGCCTATGATGGCACCACCTCGTGGTTTGAGTATGAACAGTTGATTGACGACTGGTGCGACATAACAACGCTGGATGACACCAAAAGAGGTCCGTCTCTCAAGACGAGGCTCTCCGGATTGGCCGCAGTACAAAAGGAATCACTGAACCGAGAAAGGCTTGCAGCCCCAGATGGAGTAGATTACTTCAAGAAGAAGATGCGTCCATTTTTCGTGAAAGGAGAACAGTACGTTTTCCTGTGGCGTTTCCTCGGCCTATTCAAGGCATGGAAGGGCAACCAAGACTTTGTGACTTGGATTGCCAAGTTTGAGATCGTGCTACAGCGCGTGAAAAACTCATGGATGGATCTCTTACCAGAGATAGCTCTGGAGGATGCCCATCCAGATTTCATGCAAGCTGTGCAGGCAGACCAAACCTTCTTGCGCATGCAGGATGCAGCCGAGAGAGACACATATGCCGCACGCTATTTCGAAACATGGAACAAGGAACGCCTTGACAATCATCGAAGAGCGTTTCCTCTGAACGATAATCTCCTAGCTCTCCTCTTCCTAGTGCAGTCCGACCTAAATGAGATGCAACGTGAGAGGTTGGTAACAGCATTGACCAACCAAGGTCACCGAATTGAGACCTACACGTACCCTGTGGTACGGCAGACCATGTTCGATCAGTTCTCAACGACCAGAACTGGTCTGCAGGATCCCAACATTCGGCACTCTTCTCACAAGAAGGACCGCCATGGAAGGAGAGACCAACGCCGTAAACGCGGAGGTCGAAACTTCCTCATCCTCGATCAGGGTGAATACGATGGAGTCGATGGATTCTGGCTCCAAGACGAAGACACCCTTGAGGAAGGCTTTCTTGCCGCCGAGGATGAAGAAGCTGTCTTCTGGACAGTTGATGACCATGAGGCCTTCGTTGCAAGGAGATTCAAAAAGGGAAGAAGACCAAGAATGCGTCCCGGATCACCGGGAAGAGCAAAGGGTGGCAAGCGAAAAGGACGTGGCCGTTTTAGGTCATACCGCGGAAAAGGGAGAGCCAACCAGGCAGAACATGATCCAACTGATTCCAGCTATTTCGGTAAAGGTAAAGGAAAGGAAAAAGGAAAAGGTGGAAAAGGCAAAGGAAAAGGAAAGGACAAAGGAGATAAAGGAAGCTCCTTCAAAGGCGCAAAGGCAAAAGGCAAAGGTAAGGATACAGCTAAGTCTGCCTCCTTACAAGGAGACCAAACTGGATCTCCACAGGCCTATGAGAGTTCCACCGCACCGAGCTGGGATTCATGGTATGAGGACAGTTATTATACTGACTCCAGTTGGAATTATGCCGCTTATGACGATCAAACGTCTTATACATACTATGCATCACAAGCCTCACGAAGAAAAACACGGAGAAAGAAGAGAAGAAATCAAGCAGGATCATCAGGTAGAGGCACAGATCCGAGCGCGCACCAAGAACCCGTGTTCAACTCATCAGTGAGTTACGTGCCCCAGGTCTTTGAACCATCCGAGGGGCAAGGTGTTGAAACTGCAACAGCGGTGTTTCCGTTGCAGCACACCGTCCTATCTGCTCTCACAGAGCGGATCAATCTTGAT